CCAACCTTGATTGGTTCGCCTACCTCCTCTTTTAGCGACCGGATTTCTTGGTCATCCCAGCCTCTTCTCGCCTCTTCCAAGAGTTTTGTGTCGATATGTATGTATGTATAGAACACTCGCGATTACAGTTTCTTTGCTTTCATCAGAACGGAATTAGGGCCAAGGTTTATAACGGCGCCGTCGAGGCACTAGGCAATGAGGCCGAGGCCGAGGTAGTTGGGCGACGTATAGTTTTACCCTCATCTTTCATTGGAGGTCCCCGACACATGCAACAACTCTACCAGGATGCGATGAGCCTGGTGGCAGAGTTTGGTCACCCCAGTCTCTTCATCACAATGACTGCTAACCCTGACTGGGACGAAATTCAAGATGCTCTTGAAGAAGGTCAAACAGCTCAAGACCGACCGGATCTGGTGGCACGTGTATTTTATATGAAGTACAATGAAATGTTGCATGACATAACAAAGTATGAGAGGTTTGGCAAGTTTGTGGCTTATATTTATACCATAGAGTTTCAGAAGCGTGGCCTTCCACACGCACACTTGATTTTGTTTCTGGAACCCAACGATCGCCCTACAACCTCAGAACAAGTCAACCTACTTATCAGCGCCCAGCTTCCTGACCCAATAACCGAACCTGGAATATTCAGTGCTGTTACTAGATTCATGCTCCATGGCCCGTGTAAATACTACAAGTGCTGGGACGGTACCAAGTGTCGCATTGGATACCCGCGTCCGTACCTAGAAGAAACTCAGCTGCCTCAAGATTCTTACCCAACGTACAAGCGCCCCAATGACGGACGCTATTTCATCAAGGGCGACCATCAATACGACAATCGGAACGTTGTACCTCACAATCAATACCTCCTACTGAAATACAAGTGTCATATCAATGTTGAGGTTGCGGCAAGTATTAGAGCTATTAAGTATCTTTTCAAGTATATTCTCAAGGGCCACGATCAAACATTGGCAGGTGTGCAAGACCAGGACCAGAACGACAAGATATTAGCTTTTGTCAACGCTCGATACCTCTCTGCTTGCGAAGGTAAGATTTATTTATTTTGACCATCATGCATGTAGGTGTATGTAGCTGACTTCATCTTGATGCCCTATGCAATCAGCGGTCTGGCGTCTATTGAGATACCCGTTATCAGGCCGTTATCCCCCAGTCCAACGGCTGAGCCTTCATCTCGAGGACAGCCAGACTGTGTACTTTGTCGACCAGGCAGGCCTACGACGTTTGCTAGACACTGGACGTGCTGAAAGAACATCACTCACTGAGTTCTTTTGACTATGCCGCGAGGATGCGCCCCTTCGAGGTAGAAACGACACCATCAGGAACTTGAAATACCATGAGGTTCCAAAGTACTTCGTATGGAATGACAAGACCAGAAGACTCACACCTTGCCAGAATTCTTTGATATCAATCGGCCGTGTATATTTTGCGAACGTCAAACGTGGTGACGTCTACTATCTTCGTCTTCTATTATCCCATATCCCAGGTCCTACCTCTTTTTCTTATCTGCGGACCATCAATGGTGTGCTTCTCAGCTCTTTCCGTGAAGCGGCAGACAGACTGGGACTCCTGCTTGGTGATCATCATTACCACCAAAGTCTCACTGAGGCAGCGGTCTGGCAAACTGGTCGTCAACTGCGCCATATGTTCGCGATCATACTATGCCACAGTCCACCTGCAAATCCTTTAGCGCTTTGGACTCAACACGCTGGCAACCTATCTGACGACTGCGAGCATGAGATACGTCGCCTCAATCCACACATTCAACCGACACAGGCTCAGATTGTGAATTACGGTCTTTATTTACTTGAAATAGTGTTGCTTCAGATGGATTCTAATTTGGAAGCCGTAGGCTTACAGCCCGTCAATCAGGCGCTGCTTATTGATCTCAGACTTTCGGATGGCACTGGCTCAAATCGCACAACCAACGTCAACCCAGAAGAGAGCCGTCAAAAATATATTGCTATGCTTGAAGCCACAACTCGCGAACAGAGGACTGTAATCGAATCCGTCTGCCACGCGATCATATCAGGTGAGCCTTATATGGGATTCCTTGACGGTCCTGGAGGCACGGGCAAGACCTTCACTCTCAACACAATCCTTCACTTCTGCAACGCACATGGGATCGAAATTTAAAACATTCACCTCCATTGTCCATTTTTGCAGTGCCACCCTTGCAGAGATCAGCAAATACGTAGGC